CCCCAAAACCCCAAAACCCCAAAACCCCGAAGGAATTAAATAGCGTTGAACAAAAGTTAAAGTAATATTTATAAATGGCAAGAGGTTTTATAGCCAAGATTTCTAAAGGCTTTAGCAACAGGATCAAGGCTTTTGACATGTAAACTTTTATACTGGGTTTTTAATTTATTTTCTTGCTATCTATTGCATACGAGTTTGATTATGTAGGTACCCAAAGAGCATCACCTTCACGTACAATGGAGACGAGTAGGAAATGTGGTGATATTTTAGGGAGTTCAAGACTACGATTGGAGGAACAGTTTCACTCATGATTAAGATTGTTTTACTATTTTACACTTATTTTATGATCAGTGTTATGGTAGGTAAGATTTTTGATATTTTTGAAATAGGTAATAACATTTTATAGGCAGAAAAGACACCTCAAAGAGTGTGAATAGTACAATTAAAGGTATTTACTCATTCTTGCTTTCAAAGGTAACTTTTTATAGATATCTTAAATGATAATGATCCTATTTCGTTAAAGTAAGAAATTTAGTACAGATTACCAATAATCTAAATTATAGAGGAACTAATTTTTCGTTCGCCTTTACAGTATCGAGCATCATTGATCCTAGCTTTGATATCACAAGTGATCCAAGTTATTTTTCTGTAGATTTGATCAAATATAGTACTGATCCAGGTGAGTGAAGAAGCTGTCTTAACCATAATATTTATTACCCAATATTTTTAGTAAAATTGCAAGTGTTCTAAAATATTTTAGTAACTCTGGATATATCTCCAACTTCGGTCACATATTCTTTATGAGAAGACAGATTCAATTATAGAAACCAAACTGAAGTATTTATGAAGTTCATCTTTAGATCAATAGATTAGGAATTAACAGCTACTATTGCCCTGACTCAGATAATTTCACTGTTGTTGGAAATAGCTTCTCTTCCAATTTTGAATACTTCGAGCTTTCAATTGCCACTTGCACTGGAGTAGGGTGTCCCTTTGATCTTGAAGAAGTGATTCAGAGTTTGACGGTTGATATGGTGATAGCCAACACCTACTTCGACTTTGATGATTACAACGACCCTGTGAAAACCTACATTGATGACAGACTGGTCTACAAGCTGATTCCAAACTTCAAGAAAGCCGTCAAAGGCTACATCCAGTAAGTAAGACCTGACTTGTGTAGGAAGAACGAAGCAGAAGTTCAGGATGGGTTTTTCTCGTACAAGCCAGATGGGAGTGAGAGAGAATTCATAGGAGTTGACACTATCTCTCAGGATATTGCAGCTCTTGATACAGATGAAGTTATATTTGGTAAGGCTTTCTCTCTAAATTATCATATATCCTTCATCAAAACTATATTCTTTCCCTACCATAGTGTACTCTGGATTAATATTTCTTCTCCGAATGATTACTTATTAAATATCATCTGGAGTACCATTGAAAAATTGAGGGCGATTTTGGCCATTAGAATTTGTTGACACTAAAATTTTCATATCAGCTAATATTGCTTTCTTTTTAATATTTTTAATAATTCTCAAGCCAACAGCAACACTTCACGTCAACAAAATTGTAGGAAACATTATTTGGAGCATATCCATCTTCATTTGCTTTGTTGCATAACTTTTGTGAAATTTTGACACGAATTTTGCTATTTTCTGGCACACTACATAAGCCATTTAAAGCTTAAATCTAGTATTCTCTGGATATTCATTTACTCAATATCCTTGTTAGTAAATACAATCAGTTTTTAGGTTTCAGATACCATAGTCTTGCTTTGCTTTCTGCTATGACTCTCCAGTCTATTAAGATTCCCAATATTTCTTTTTCTGCGAAAACAGAGGAGGCTCTGACTCTATTTAGCGATGACTTTCGTGAAAGACTCAATTTCGAAATCCTTCGAGCGTTCAGTGTTCACATTCATGGAGGCGACTGGCAACATCGGAGGACTCTTCGAGATCCTCGAGATCAGTGGAGGCCTCCTTGTCAGCTTGTTCTCAGGAAGGATCTTCTTGTTTTCAGTGCTCCCTAAGTTGTATCATGTTGATGATCCTCACAAAATAGACGGTAAGCCTTCACAGCTAATAGGGCTTAGAAGAACAGGATAGCCAAGAGAGTGAACAGAAGAAAGAAGACTTTCATACATCACAGATGAGATTCCAGCAAGAAGGCACTCTACAAGTAAGGTAGAAGGTTACTTTTAGGGAGGAGGAAATGACTCTAAAGAAATCGTGTTAGATCAGGACACAGATAAAAAGGAAGCTTTATCCAATAAAGTGAAAGAAGTTATGAAGAGAAGGGTGAGATATGATTGGAAAATAACTGACTTTGTTTTCAACTTCTTCAGATTCCTTTCTCTATCTTGTTATTGCTGTATGAGGAATAAGACTTCACTCCACCTCAGAAACAAACTCAAGCTTTACGATAAGGGTGAAACAAAGTTCATCAAAGAGTTCGATGCAATGCACTATGCAAGGACCATGAGGAATCTAGAGATATTGGTTACTTCAATGATTGACAAGAACGAGAGGTTCATGACCACTTATCAAAAAGCCAATGTAGTTTCATTGCTTAGCGATTCTGGCAGCAATATTAGTAGCAATAACTATGAATCTGTTCCTCATGCTTTTTCTTCATTGGCAAAGAAGAGAGCTCATCACAAATAAAGTAGAACATTTTATGGTATTTAAGTGAATTACATTACAGGGCCAATACTCTGAAGAAAAATGGACGCAAAAAGATCTTAGATTGCTTAAAGGAGTTTTGACCAGCAAGAGAGTGACAGGTAGATTAATTCAAATTTATTTTGGAACTAATTACTTTTCTAATTTCGGATTATAGACAAAGAAATACAAAATTTAGTGAGAAAGAAAGATAATTCGAATATTTATAATGAAGAGTATGCTTTCTACTCTAAAAGAATTCCTATCCTATTAAATTTGAAAAGAAATTTATATTATATACCTAACCCTAAGAATAAACCAGACCAACTTTATAGAATAAGATCATCTCCAGAATCAATACAATTCTGTAAATCCCCCAAAATCACCCCATACGAACAGTACCAACAAATAATCTCTGTAGAGAAGAATCAAAAGACAGTATCATGCATAAGAGAAACAACGCTTTGTTCGTCCTACTCCCCTCCTAACCCCCATAGTCACTCCCCTAACTTCACCCTTTACCCAACAAAACCAGTCCCTATCTCCACACTCCCAAACCGGCCAAACCTAAAATCCCTCTAATCCCATATTCCCACTCAACCCCTTCCTCATCCTCTGGGGTTTTGGGGTTTTGGGGTTTTGGGGTTTTGGGG